ACACACACACACACAAATAAAGAGTGAAATAGAAGATAAATAGGAAGTAAAGTTCAAATAACTCCCCAAATTACCTATTCTGGTGTTTCAACAGTATTTGCATACATATGCTAATTTGCTTCATTTAAACTATTAGTTTCTCTTATGTCATTGAAAAGAAAGCATTGTGCTATTATCTGTTCATTTCTTCTTTATAAGAGTCTTCATAAGATTCTTTCTTGCATATGTCTTATAATCTGAGTACTTTGAAGATCATACTACACAATGTAATAACTATTGTTATCCTCTAAATATTTTGTTATGAAATTATTCTTTATTTTTCAGGAAAAAAAGATTTTTCTCCATTACATTGACCCTCCTTCCTCCTACTCCCCACACTGAGAATCTAAATCAGGACCTTGCTCTGTGAGGCAGGCACAGTGCCACTGAGCTAAATCCCCAGCCCTGCTCCTTTTCTATTTTAACTCCTTATTGCCCATCTCATTTCTTTACCTTACATACCTGTCCTTCTTGAAATGATTTATTACTCTTAAGAAGCAGTAGTTTCAGATATAGTTTCCCCCGGTTTGAGATCCCAGCTCAAATAATCACTATCTGCACCTTTGGGCACACTACTCAACCTATCCAAGGTTGGGATTCCTAAACTATAATTTATACATCTGTATCTACCTCAAAAAGTTATCAGGATTAAATGAAACATTAGAGTCAGTCACACAGAACAATGCCTGGCACATGGTTATCACAATGCAAATGGAAGCTATCATCCATTTAATTGTCATTTTCTTTTAAGTCCTCACCCCACTACATCAAGGCAACACTATTTGCATTAATCACAATAACTCTTGGAAGCAATAATGGAGTCATCACATTCCTTAAAGCCAGAGAAAGAGAATCTCAGTTAGAGACTACTTTCCTGTGAGTACCCTCCTCAAGGCACCATGTACATCAGGGTTCCTCAGGCTATAGATGAGTGGGTTCAGCATGGGGCTGATGACAGTGTTGAAGATGCCAATGCCCTTGTCTTTATCCGAGGTCTCCACTGAACCCAGCCTCATATAGTTGAAGATGCCAGTCCCATAGAAGATGCTCACTACAGTAAGGTGGGAGCTGCATGTGGAGAAGGCCTTCTTCCTTCCTTCAGCAGAGCGGATTCTCAAGACTGCAGCTACCACATGGGTGTAGGACACAGTGATGAGGACCAATGGGGCCACACCCATGAAGGCTGCTGCTACAAAGAGCAACTG